GCAAGAAGGGTAGGTTTAAGTTCTGCTAACAATGATCAGATGTGGCAGAGACCTTGCCCCAAAAGAAAAGACAACAAGCTTGTTTTCTCCACCCACAATCAATACTAAAAATGGAACAATGACCAGTGTGGTAAGCAAGACATTTCTCTCATTTCTTCTTGCCAAACTTCTACGCAGGAGAATACAAGCTTATTGGTGGACCGCTGTATTAGAAGATGTGCATCACCCTGGAAGTATCACATTATTTTATGCATGTTGGCCAGAGCTAGGAGTCTGACAGAAAGAAATTAGTTCAATGGCTCTGCACTGACCCCAGGATATCGGCAGCACTGCTTAACTTCTGTAGCAGCTACTTGCAGCAGTCCAAATTTCCACAGCAGAGGTGGACTGCGGGTGGCAAGGCAACACCCACATGTACTAGTGGAGCAGCCGGCCTTGGTGGAGGACAGAACAGCCACAAGCAGTATTTGGAAGAAGGAAATTTCCTTTGTCATTGGATCAGGCAAAAAGAAAGAAGAGACACAAGATTCACCCCTGAGTCAGTCAATGTGACCAACTGGGAAGAAGGCAAGTGAAGGACGCACCACCAACATCTTTGGGGCAAGATAGACCACATTGCTTCCAAGTAGTTAATGTGTTATCATTAAGCCAGAAAATGGATGAGAAGCAGGCGGTACCCCCAAAAAAACCCATGCAGAAGTGTAGGCATCCAATAAGTTTTCCCATATAAAGCAGAAGAATGGTCCAACCATAGTCTTCAGAAGCTGACCGTAACAGTAACAGCCAGTCTCCTAACTCTACTTTCAAAATCATATCTAGACTTTTTTCCCCTCCCTTCTGGGTGATACTGCACAAATATACTACTCTTAATTGAAGGCCAAAGATGAGCTGGGACCTGGGACACCTTTGGATTGAAGGAAAGAAAGTTTAAAAACTCAGAATTGCAGCCTGTTTTCTCACAGAAAAAAGCTTTAAATATCTGCAAGGGTTTCCAAACTTCTAAGGCTCCAGTTACAGTGAGAATGAGACAAAATTGTTTCCAAAATAGCTTTGTCATCAGAAAAGCAGGAAAACTTAATCCAAAAACATCCTTGACTGTTTCTCAGCATTGAAAACATTATGAGGCATGTTACCAACCAAGAAAAACCATGAAACAGAACACAGAATTGGGAAAATAAGTCTGTGGCTTCAAGTTTACTTTTTTCTGATTAGTTTTAGAAGTGCTCTCCCTTCTCAAGATGAGTTATTTTTCAATTCTCCCCACCCTTTTAATTCATTACTGTTCACCACATGCCCCTCAAAAAAGGAAAAGAGATGGGTAACAAATAGACAAACCTGAAAACATATATGAATGAAATCCAAAGGCCTCCCCCCGTCATTGTACGCAAAAGTGACCAGAGAGACCAGAATGAGAGAGATGAAGATATTACCACCTCTGGAATACAACTAGCATTCATTAACACATTTTCACAATAGTAGGATTTTCTTACCAGAGTGCTCTCAAATTACTCTTTCTGAACAATATCATTCAAATGTTAAGTTGTAGTCAAGAGAATGTGCAAAACTACCCCAACGATTGTTTCAAACCAGAAGGGGAAAAACATTCCCATTATATCGATGCTTTTTTGTGTGTGTGTGTTTTGTTTTAATTAGGCCTAGAGCATTAGCCTTATGTTTTCATTCCATGATCTTCATGGATTTGCTCCTACTGCTATTTCAAATTTAGCGATACATCAGCAATAATCATGGCAAGACGCAGTTTACCCTTTTTACATTACTTTTAGGTCCCAATTAGTTGACAGACACTCCTCTGGGCAAGAACCTATCTTTATTTGGTACCTGCCACACTATAGAGTGATGTGGCTGCCAGTAAGCAGGCTTCTTGTGAAGCACGTGCTCATGTCACCACATGTTCTAGTTCCTAGATTAAAATAACTCATAACAGGTCTCCTTAAAAGACCAACTAAAAAAAGCAGAATTTCAGATAACGAGATAGGACAAATGTGCAGGAATCAGGCATTCAGCTATCCCAGGAAAAAGACTTTCTAGAAGAGGTGCAAAATCAAATGGCAGAGCATGGAGGAAGCTGACACCTAGGGCTGAAGAACCATCCCAAATAGACACAGATACTCATTTGTGGAAAAAGGAAACATGGTACGCTAATCAAATGCTGTTCTTAACCGTTCACGCTTACTGGTACTGTAACAGAAGGTAGCAGATCCATACCAACCCGGTCTGCTGGGCTGCACTCTTCCAGTACCCATTACATTTTGGTACTGAAAAAAGAAAGGTGAATACATAACAAATTTGCTTGTAGAGTTTCGCTTCTTTAATACACACTGTAACTGATTATTTCTTCCCTGCCTCCCCAAATACCTTAGGGCTTCAGTAGTTAGTAGTAGTTAGTTCATCAATAATGGCTTGAAACAATTCCTTTAATTATTGCAATGATAAAAAGAAGCTGAACAGAGTCAACTTTAACAGGGACATAAGATAAAAACTTTGTACAAAGAACATTATCCAAGGAAAGTTGAAGCCTTAGTTAAAAAAACAAATGCAGTTACCATCAGTGATTTCATTCAATACTGTCAAAGGATCATTCATATTCAGGAATAACTTTTTCCATCATATCTGTCTACCAAGATATTAGGCTTTAAAAAAAAACAGGTCACAGGAGTATTATGCACAGATTTACTCCTTGCCATTGCATAGTCAGGAAGTTCTGACATTTAAGATTACTTGAGAGTAAAGCTGTCTGTATTTGCAATTTGAAATGAGAAAGTACATCCTGCCTGTTTAAATTATTCTCAGACAGGTTGCCCAAAAGATGATTTTAAAGATGCCCAAATGTGTATCAGCCTAAGGCCGTACATTACTTGCTTTCAGTTTCAAAGACCTCCTTTCATCTCTGAAGAATGGAATGTTGTTTACTGCTCAGGATGTTTTGCCATGTTATCATGAATGTATTACAAATGTTCTGCTTCTTGAACTAGAGAGTGTTTGTCAAAACCATTCTTTATTCTACATGAGAAGTCTTAAGCCTTTTATAAATCCTGCTCAGATATATTGGGACACTTAAAAGTCTAAGTCTAAACATCTTTCTCAAGTTTGCTATCCTGCATAATTTCACAAAAAAGAAAAAAGATCTGTGGAGAATATGCTTCATGCTACCAGAAAGCAAACTATCAGGCACTGGAATGCAAGACTGCATGTGAGAAACTAAAGTAGTTTCACTGGCAGAATTACATTCACCTACGATCCTTACAACTCAGTCTAGTAAGGCAACCTATAGGAGAAGCATCTTCAAATACAGCAGGTAAATTTGTGGCAATGAAATGCTGTCAAAGTTTACGGTCAGTTTTAGGCATGTTATGTCCACATTCTTTTAAATTGGCAACGTAAATAATGGATCACCACCTTTCAATAGCAACACTTACCTGTCTCACTTTAGCACAGTCTCATGAAGCTTTTAATAAAGCAGACACACCGCAGACGATGAGAAATAACTGAAAAGTACCTAACAGGCAGACCTGTTAAATATTCAGAAATAAATCTGGCCATAATTACAGAAAACCACTACGAAGAACAGGAATAGTTACTCGATAGAAGCTTGGGGGAAGAGGAAAAAAGGATGAGGAAAACTGTTCTTGTGCTAGACTTATTTTTTCAAGTTTTGCCAGTGGTATTACAAAAAAATAACTGTATCTTCAGCTTCATGTGAAGTGCATTAGAAAACTTCTTTGAAGTGAAGAATAGCTACTCAAAAGCTGGGAACACTGCTTTCTGCAGCTTGTTTAGATACAGATTCCTTCACTTCACTTGTGGTAAACAGGGAACATTCAAGGAGCTAATTGTGTCTCTGCATAAAAAAAAAAATTAAAAAAATCAGAGAAACAGGTCTACCTCACCTCCTTAGAGAGGTCTCTTGTCACAGCCCAGGCTGAGAGAAAACCTACAGGAGAGATGTCACCACTGTCCCACCATCTCAGTTATGCTGCAAATACTTGAGCTTTATACAACATTCTTCCAGACTCCAGCATGCAAAACCACCGGAGTATTTTCAATCCTAGCATCTATTTAAGCTTCCTCGGCCACAAAAATGAAAAAAACTTAAGGTTTATCACAAAGGACAACTCTACCATCACCTCTTCCACACAAGAGATACCCTCCAGGCTTCTGTTCACCATGCTTGGGTCACAGGCCAATCAGCCATTCACTTGGACAATGTTGAGGCTTCAGAAGAAAGAGGGGCAAAACCAGCAACAACACTTGAATGACAGCCCGTAACGCATTTCTCCCACCTCCAGCCAAGACGATCAGTAAGAGAAGCAAGCTGTCAGTCTCCTTGGAAAGAACTTCTGCAGCCCCGTGAGCTTCCCAGGTCCCAGAAACAGTTAATCTCTAGCACAGCATTAAGAGATTTGTTCAGACCAAGATTTGTTAAAAGCACCTTCAAGGCACTTTTAAAATGCAGCATGAGCCAGAAAAGGTGATCTGGCTCACTGCAGGAACTGAATGGTAGAGCTTTATTTATTTATTGCTTTTTGGGGGGATCTAGCCAAGGCAAACTCACGGTATATTTGAAAAGAGTCCCTATGTGTATAGAAAAAAGTCCACAGCCAAATGTCAAAGCAAGAGCAGTTTCAAAAGCCATCCAAAACAGCCATCATGACTTCAACTGAGGGGCCATAACAACTAGCTGCTGTGGAAGACCACCACAGCTTTGTTAACATCCACTGCAGACATAAGTTTCTCTGAGCCATCATTTCATTCAGTCTTTTACACACAGTGCTTTTATCCATAGTTCTTCCTATAACACATAATTAAACATCTCCATCAAATTTACCAGAAACAATCCTTTAAAGTATCTAATGCACAGACTAGTTTTCTTACAGTAAGTAACCAGCCTTTTTGTGTAAGAGAATTCTCACTTCTCCCTGCAGGGAAGGACAAAAATAATTCAGTATGAAGATACAACAACATGCAAGTCATCTCCGTACCTCCAGCCCAGATGCAATGTTTGACGAATCCAATGGTCTTTTCTTCCTTGGTCCAATGGCTGCCAAAGCTGTGAGGTTGGCGTCTCTCTGTTGCATTTGTGCTAGCTCCAATTGTTGCATCTAATTTGAAAGAAAACACCTACGTTAATTATGATATACAGTATTCTAAAGGTCTTTGTTCTCTTTACGGCAGCTTCAGACAGCTCTGCAGTCCCTACTGAAACAATGTACATCACAACATCTTTTCCTGTCTTTCTGGACACTTTTGACAGGTTCCAATACTCAGTTGTGCTTAACGCTAATGGCCCTATAGATAGCACTGCATAAGGAACATTTTTTATGGAGATCGCGTTGTGGTATCAACGCAGACTTAACAGGAGCCTTGCTGCTGGTTCCTCAGCTCGTAAACTTTACCATTTCTGATTAACAGAAAACATTGATCAGAACTGGTTTATGAGGTCAGATTAGTATTAAAAGTTGAAGTTACGAAGTTCTGTGAAGTGGGCATATTCTCAATTCAAAATCTCAATTCATGACTACACAAGCAAGACACTCAATTTCTTCATGCTGTATTACCCGAACCCAGCACTCAATATTACCATTCTGAAACATCTTATTATCCAACTGAACAGGACGCTGTCAGTTCACTGATCTTTATTTTCCCAGTACATATTTGAATCTTCAGGCACATATGAAGCAAGTTAGAGATACACTACATACATTTATTTTCACTCGCCTCCAAAAACTGTTAAAGACAAAGAAATCCTTAGAAACAACCTTCGCCTGGGTTAGGTAAACTTGGGATGGGAGAGAAACCCACAGTCAATAGGATTAAAAAAAAAAACCAACAGTTTTACCTCTGCATTTCAAGGTACATACTACTTCATTCTGTTTTATGACTATAGATACCAGCTGCTCTGGAGCGCAGCCCGGTCGAGTCTGCTAATGGACTTACTAGCTTGGATTGGCCACCTTGCTAATGCAACCACGCTGCTTTCAGATTTGCCAGCTGCCCAATTTGAAGTATGGGTGGAAGGGAGTGCATTCTCTCTCTCTGTAGGGAAGAAGGCTTTCCTATTTACTCAGGTTGAGTTTGTCTTTAAATACAAACCTCCAGGTTTGATGTGAATCCTTAAATGATCTGACATGCACCTAGAACTGCTTAAGGAGTTCTCTCCACTCCCAGGACTTACAAAATCTGTTTGGATGTGAATTCTCTACATTCATGCATGTCCAAGTCTTTAAAGAAAGCGCAGCCCTATCATGGTAGCAAAGCATCCAACTCTCCTCCCTTCCCTCGACCCCACACTCAATAAAAAAAAACAAAACAAAAAACACAACTAATTGGAATTTCTCATTCAGTCAGTACAGATATTTTGCTTACTAAGCTTGCAATACACTATGTTTTTGCTTGCTTTTCAGCTCTGAGAGATCCCACTTGGAGAAGAGAAATTCAGCTGGTTAAAAACTGAGCTCGTAGCCCCACACAGCATTACTCCCCCTCTTGTTACTACTTAAGTAAGAATCCAAATTTTTGGTTTTGTTTAGTTTGGTTTTTTTTGTTTGGGTTTGTTTTTATTTTTGTCAAGTCTGTTATTTTACTTCAGATTGGTAAGACTTGTTCTTACTGTAGTGACGCTGGCAGCTTCACACCAAGTATTGCAGCCAGCTAGGCTATTTTAAGAAAAATATATTTCAGTGCAAGATTCCTAAAAGGACATCCTGTCCTGTAAGACTCAAACTATACACAGACTCAAGATTTTTCAACAGAAATCTAGGAATGCAAGACTTATGACATACATATGTTGAAAGTAGTTGTTTGGGTTTTTTTGGGTGGTTTTTCTTTTGGAAGATGAGACCAATGATTTAGTTATGAAAACAGCACCATTTGCAAGCCGGCTTTGATCACACTATGTAGGCTTTTCCTTACAGAAATGTAGTAGTACTATTTCAACACTAGATATCATCACTCACTTACCACACACACTATTCTTGCATTTGTGTGGAGCGTAAACATTTATAATTGTATTTATCAGAATTACTTCAGTTCTGAATGTTGGGGATTTTTGTCTTTTTTCAAAGTATTTCTTTCAAGAATATTTTAGAGACTGTAGGTTTTGTCTCTTAAACTTGAAAACTACAGTTCTGCAATTTCCTAATCACAGAATGGTTTAGGTTGGAAGGGACCTTAAAGATCATCTAATTCCAACCCCCCTGCCATGGGCAGGGACACCTCCACTACACCAGATTACTCAAAGCCTCATCCAACCTGGCCTTGAACACCTCCAGGGATGAGGCATCCACAACTTCTCTGGACAACCTCTTCCAGTGTTTCACCACCCTCATTATAAAAGCTTTCTTCCTTATATCTAATCTAAATCTGCCCTCTTTCAGTTTAAATCCATTGCCCCTTGTCCTATCACTCCACGCCCTTGTAAAAAGTCCCTCCCCAGCTTTCCTGTAGGCCCCCTTTAAGTACTGGAAGGCTGCAATAAGATCTCCCTGGAGCCTTCTCTGCTCCAGGCTGAACAACCCCAACTCTCTCAGCCTGTCTTCATAGAAGAGGTGCTCCAGCATAAGGTGTTTAACATAAACTTCATTTTAATCTCAGTCTTACACATGCATATTTATATTCAAGAGCACATTGCAATCAGTCAAGAATAGGGGAAATAAGACTGAATCTGAAAAAGTAATTTGAAACTTCACAAATTCTGTGAAACACTGAGGCTTTCATAATGACTACTTTTATGCAATGTCTTCATTGCTCCCTGGATTAATCAGGAGCAATAAAATGCTGAGATTCTTTGGCAGAGGCAGATGCTGACTTCCAGCCCCAGTTGTCCAGTCCTCCAACACCTGGAGCCACCCTCACTTACAGGCAGCTACAGAGCACCCCTGTGGAAGTACACCTTCCTGCTAGCAACTAGTTCAGTTGTCACAGTGGTCGCATGTACAGCACAGTCTTCCTGCCATGAGAAGAGGCATTACAAGGTGCCATGCACATGGCATCCCTCTGGGGCCAGAGTAAATGCCAAAAAAGGCTCCAGTGACAAAGAAAACCACTGGCTTGAAGCAGCATTGAAATAAGACCCCTCCTCTCCTTTTTACAGCTGATATTGATGGGCAGCCACGGTAAAGACTGAGGACAAGAGGCAGAGCTATGAATTAAATTCTGAGGGGACTTTGTGTTGGCACCAGTGCGGGTTGGAGGGGGCTGGGTGGGTTGAGTGCCCCTTGGTGGAGTATCACAACACTGCTCCGGCTGAGGGCTGCATGGGGTCTGGGCACCATCACCATTTACCCCACACAACTCAAGCTGACAAAGTGTGCTGCCAACACAGACGCCCTGCAGAAGGGAGCACTGCTGCTGGAGGGCAGTGCCGGCAGAAACCTCATCGATACAAAGGAGGGGATGACACTTGGTGGACAGTGTGAAAAAGACACTTTCTAGAAACTGAACTGATACATCTTTGACCATGCGGTTCCCAAGACAATGCTGGAAACGCATGTCATTACCATCATCTAATCTCCCCAAAATGTTTTCCACCTCATAATCAGTCAAAGGATTTTTCAAATTGGTCAGAATCTCATCAGGGTTTTGGAGCAAAAGAAAAAAAGAAACCATAGTCTTGTTGCATTCTAGACATCTCGGGGATTTTTCTGAGAACATAATTAAGACAAATAAATTTAAATACTCATCTCCATAATGGACTCAACAGATCCCCATTAAGCGATATGGGCAGGCATCCAAATTACTCTGCTGAAGCCAGAAAAATCATCTTTTCATCAAGTTTTGTTCCATTAAAAAGTGTGAGATTAAATGTCCAAACATTGTGTGAGCAGTTAAAAGCACAGGATAAGGAGAAGACAGGCAGATAACATCAAGGGATACCCGAGGATACTGGCTGGCTAACTAGTGCCGGATTTTCTTGAACAAGATTAGGAAAGAGCAAGAGGCAACTCAATGTTCAGTCAAATCTTTCTTTAATAGACAATTTTGCAGCACACAAGTTAGGGCAGAAAGATCACTGCAGCAAGTGAAACAGTAAAAGTAGTACATACACTTTATTAAAATATAACATAGAGAAGCTGCATCTAGTATTGTTTCCCTTCTAGGGGCCAGTTTTACTAATATTGGTGTCTCTGCCTAAAATAGGATACAAATAGAAACTGTCATACTCAGGTTTGTATCTTGATAACAGATGGTTTTTTTCCCCTTGAAGACAGAAGTGCGTAATGGCAATTCAAGAGGAGCAGGGGGAACCTGCGCCATAGATCGGACCCACGAACTAGCAGGTTTCCCTTCAACCTGCCCTCCTTCATCTGCTGAAAGATGCTGCTGTTCCACCACGACACAGGAGACCAACGTATGTTCCGTTCAAAATTCATTCCTCAAGAAGGGCATCGAGAGCGGACAGTCTCCAGGCAAGAGGCAAATGAATGTTCATGCTCCTTGTCCCCCCTTCTGATTTTTACATATGCTAAGAATCACAGTACAAAGAGTTCTAAAAACCTGTGTATAAAGATCAAATTGCTATGAAAACGTCTCAGAACTTGCAAAATAGTCTTTGTTGCTGCTGGCCTTTTTAATAATAAAAATAGGGTTTAAAGTCTGGTCTTGCAGCGAGCAGGAATCTCTAGGGTGACACAATAACCATTTTAGTTAATCTGACCTGCAGCACAAATCAAGAAGTAAGGTATGTTTTAAAGTCCTCCCTTATAGTGAAATGGCATTTGCAGCATGGCTGTAATCACACAAAATGAAAGGTTTTAAAATTGACCTCTCTGTTCTTCGCTCAGTCCTCTACTGAGAAAAATATTTCTTTTCCTGCTCGCAGAAATTCTCTCTCACTTATGTCTATGTCTCATACTTCACATTTCAGAAAATATGCAAAATCTATTTTTACTACTACACCAATGACATTTTTGTGGCATTTTAATATTAAAAATTAAATTTCAAGTTGTGTAAGAAGACAAGAAGTACTTCAGCTATGAGATGCCGAGACTTTTTTTTTAAAGCAATACTGCAAGTTGGTTTTAAATCCTTTCAGTTATAAAGTACATGGTACATGGTTGTTAGCACATATCCAAAATTCCAAGTTACGCAAATCTCTCAAGAT